CCCCCCCCCCCCCCCCCCCCCCCCCCGCTGCTCAACTACTATCGCATCCCCCACTGCTCAAAGTTCTTGGTTCCAGTGTAAATAATTTAGCCGTCAAAAATTTTCACAGAGCTGTACATGTCACCCGCGGGCAGGGGAAGGCTGAATTTAAATTCTCTGAGTAGCACAGGGGCGGGGGACAGGCCCGTACGATTTTAGCGTTCTAGCTTACGTGGTTCCCATGATAACAATTTTACCGGCCAAAAACTTCTGCGGGCCGTACATGTTACCCGCGCGTACGGGAATGCTGAATTTTAATTTGCCGTCTCACACGTTAGCTGGGAACACCACACTAAAGTTTCAGCCGTCTAGTTTCTGCGGTTCCCGAGTTGGAACTGTGGGACAAAATGTGGAGAACACACACACACAAACACTACCCCGTGACGGTATGCGTCTTGTACTGCTGTTACACAGCACAAAACGCATAAGAATTAATGATCGAGATTTTGAAAGTAGCACAGGAAATTTGAGACAGCGTACACGTCTCATGTACAGCTCAAGAATGAAGCGCACAAACAGGTTACCGTGCCACTGTACATATAGACGCGCCTATGTGGAATATCTAAATGCACTTCCGTTGTTTCATTATCAAAATTCGACTGTGTTCCTTTCCACGCTGTGCTAGTACCAAACTGCATATGTTAACGTCTCAGTCTTTCAATCTCCTAGCCAGGATATTTACTGTTTGTATCTGTAAAATTTTTACAACACTTTGAAAAACTTCCATGTATTTGTGTGCGCTTTCCTCACAACAGAATGTATTTATTAAACAATTGAATGAAAAAATTTGATCGTGGAATTAAAAAATACGCGCTCCAAAACCAAATGTTTTCATTATATTCTGTATATAGAAGCGCTGAAAACCATTCTCCGTATCATCGTACTGCAACACCGGAACATCTTTCGCTTCTATTTCCAAGCGCGTGCTGTCTTTCTGCAAAATGCAAATAACATTATGCATGACGAAATGCATAAGAACCAGATACGCTATTCTCGTTAACTGAAGGAATATTTTATAGGACAGATCCCTTGGACTTTTATTTTTTCACCAGCCTAAAACTCAGTTTTAAGCGCTCTGTAAAAAAAAGAATTCTCCGACTTTATTTTCACACTGCATCACAGTTTAATATTTTCATATGGATATTTCTGAATTCTCCTTTTCTGTGTGAATTTTTCGCTCTGCCAGCTAAAAATCTTCGGCCCTTCTTGGCTTGAGTTCCACATTATTTGTCTCTCGGCATAAAAGATTTAGAGCATTTCCTCTTCGTTGCAGCAAAAGAAACAGCAACAGCCTCCTCTCTACCAGTGTTTTCATCTTTCACAGAATAAGAACTCAAAATCAGTAAATATCTCGCTCACACTTTGTTTCCCAGACAAAAAATCAGTAAACCTCATCCTTCAGAGTGAATAAAACATTTGAGAAGTGTCCAGACGGGTAACTCTTTAATCGCCATTTCATTACAAGCTTCTTATTGGGCTCCTGCAAATCAGGCAGCATTTAGATCCTCTAAAAAGCCTCCAAAACAACTGGTTTCAGCTCCAAATTTCTGGACATTTTTTGGGCACTGAAGTTTCCAGAACTAAATTTTAGGAATCTCAGCGCTCAAAAATATCCAGAATCCACCGTAAAATGCTTCATTACCGCAGTGACTGATGGAGAGCAAAAAAAAAGAAAAAATTTGACTGAACTTACGATTTCATCAAAAACCCCAGTGACCATACCGCCATATAATTCAAAAGCACCCTGCGGTTTGAGATCAATCTTGACATTCCCATTTGTCCACTTCTTCACCATCTAAAAACGTAAATAAGCTTATTTCAAGCATGACCACTCATACAGTTATACTGCTTAGGTACTCACAAACCCACTTTTTCTTTAATTCTATAAAACAACCTCAAACTTGTCTCCTACTGTAGATGTCCCTACAGCCGAAATCTAGTGCTCTTGAAGGTCACAGTTAATTTCTAACACAATTTCTGCGGCTATTCACCATTACGAAACATCGCATGGACTATGCGAGTGATGGAAAGCCTGCGCAACATTTACTATTTCATTGCGGAAAGACTTGAGACAGCAAAAACAATGTGAGAATCATCATTATAAAGCTACCGGTGACAGCAATCTTGCAGTCGTGTTGGAAGCGCGGGGAGAAGGAAGTGGCGAAAAATCAAATCTAATCAAAATTAAATCCATGGGCACACTAACCGCAGCATCTGTAAGCACTTCCCAGAGCTGATCGGGGTGCACTTTGAACGATTCGGACAGTGTCAGATTCCTAGTATCCACCTTGGAGGCTGAAATAACACAAAACATCAATCAGAAATGGTCCAATTCGCACATACGAAGAGTCCTATGATCGCTAAAATAATTGTGAAAGGAACTCCACTTTTCACATTTTTCCATCGTGCAGAATTTTCCGCGAGCCGGAGCAGTGAAGTGTTTTTCCAGAGCCACAATATCCCAAAATACCGTATTCTGTTCTCTAATCCCCGGTGCCAGGATCTGAGAAGCAACGGGGCAGGCTTACAAATCTAGGAAGGAACGTTGTTCTATGCATTCCCAGGACAAAGGTGCACTTACCTTTAATATGTGCTGCAAAAAACTCTTCTAGCGTTCCAACCTATCATGGAAACTGTTGTAAGAGAGCATTCAGCAACAAAACGGCTAAATTACTTTAAAACTTAAAAACAGCTCTATCGTCGCTGAACTGGGAATTAATTGCTGCAGCAAACAAAATAAGCCAAAAAATGAAACTAACGTGTAGGAACTGCTTGATTCGTCGGTTTAGTAGCTGTCTCCTAAAATACATGCATTGCAAAGCAGTGATCATAACCAACACTCGGACTACTAATGTAAAATCAGCAGTGTAAATGATGCCGTGGTGAAGATGTTAGTAAAAAATTAAAAATAACGGTAAAGCGGGCTCTTTCAAGTGCATTTCAGCACTTATACATTAAGAGTGTCCTTAAAATCCTATGGATTTTCCTCCTAAACAGAGCACAGGCGTGTGCAACCTAGCATTTTTCTCTGCAAAGACCAACGCCGGATCTCCCATCATTAGGGTGGCCAATAAATGTCTGAAATTCATTTGCAGAATGATAAGCAACGGCCATCAAAACATCGAATCATAAGTGGACGGTCAAAGTGAAGCGGCCGAAGTGGGTTAAATTAATAATTTGCGGCCCTTGATAAGCCGAACCGTAATTTCTGGAATGAACGGCCAGTCCAAACTGTGAAAAATATGGAGCGGCCGTAATTCGAGCAGAAGTTCGCGTCCTGGCAGTACAAAAATCCGTTACGGTATTAAGACAAATCACAGTGCTTTAATTTACAGTCATTTTAGCAACCGTCGTAATTTTAATCACAGTAAAAAGTCACTGAAATTCAATCGGAGCGCGGAAAAGAACTTACCACGTGGTCCTGAAATGCCTTTTTGTTAACAGCCGGTTCATTTATAGTTGTTTTTCCTTTTGAGACCACTTGTGGCTTCGGACGGTCAGTTGGAAGAATAAGCCCTTTGCTAAATTCTTCTTTCAATTCTCGGATGTAAACTGCTAACTGTTTTCGTATAAATTCGGTTATATCGCTAGCCAGTAAACTCCGGATTTCGTTTTCGTGTTTCCCAGTTGTTTCCAATGAAAAATTAACCTGAAAAACGTTTTTCATGCAGCGAGAAATGCAAAATTTCACTGCACGCAGAAGTGTAAAACTGAAATGTAAAATTCCACCGTTCAAATAAAAATAAATGGCAACGAGCAGCAGACTAACCGGTGCGACCATGCGTTTTGTGCAATTCAACCCATCGAACGATTGCCTATTAATTATTTTTACTGCTTTGTACTTTATGCAAAAATAGTTCAAACATTCGAAAACAGTCAAAAATTTCACGCACCAGCGTATGGAAGCTGAATTCGAAACCCTGAAGGATGAATATTTTTCCGTGATTCCCGAGTTAATAGTTTACTCGCCAAAATTTTCACGAAGCCGTAAGTGGTATCCGAGAGAACGAGAACGCTGAATTTGAATGGGCAAGGTTGAGCGTGGGCAGAGGGTCATCACTCTAAAATTTCAGCCTTCTGGACTCCGTGGCTTCCGAGATATTAACTTACCCGTAAAAAACTTTCACGGGGCCATACGCGTTACCCGCGGGTACGGGGAAGCTGAATTT